CCCAAGTGCTGAGATTAAAGGCGTGTGCCACCACCGCCTGTCTGGCACTTGTTCTTGAGCTATTTGTTTATATTTATTTATTTATACTGTATTTCCAAATTCTTGTTAAAATCACACTAATCTCTGTGGAAGCATATGGTCTTTTGCTGGTTCATGGATCACATTACCAAGTGCTAAGGTATCTCATCCATGGTCAGAGTCATGAAATCTGAAGTTCACACACACTGGAAAGACTGACAGAAATACAATGTGGGGCATCATTATAACAGTTCCTTTAACCGCTTTTTCTTTTCTTAAAATTCCATTTTTATATTAAGGTCCTCTTTGAAAATGAACAAACCTCAAAATCAAATTCTGTCTGTGTACAAACTTAATATAATAGTACAAAGTAGTAATGACACAGCCACGGGACATGTGTACGTGGTGTGGATTCTTGTACATGTGGGAGAAAAAGAAAGGGGATTGTTTTACTCTGTTCTATCTCTGGAATTTAATACACACACACACACACACACACACACACACACACACACACCAATGAATATAAACCAAATGTCAGATCCTGCCTCCTACCACACAGTAATATGCCAAGTCAGAGGCTGCAGCATCCTTGGAGTCAATTGCACGCAAGCTTTAAATCAGCTTCACGTTTCCACATCCCTTCAGTCACTGATCTCCATGATCTTTTGGAGATCAACTAACGCTTTGTGGGTCTCCATTTCCACTTTGCACACAATGAATTATAAGGATTGTAACACAAAATTCTTATAAATATTAAGTAAGAATGTAAGAAAATTTCTCTCATGCCTGTGATCTTAGGATGCATGAACGTGAGACAGGAGGATCTCGGGTGAATACCATCCTGTTTTACACAGGGAGACCGTCTTTGGGGTAAAACATAAATAACAGAGAACACACAGTGTTCTGCACAGTATCCACATAGCTGACGCGGTAAAGGTTCTTATTCTTTACTTTATTTTCTATTATGGTGTTTTGCCTGCACGTATGTCCGTGGAATACATTCATTCACTGTTTGATTAGCTCAGAAGAGGGCATTGGGTCCTCTCATACTGGAACTACAGGCAGCTGTGAACTGCCATGTACACGCTGGGGATCAAACCCAGGTCCCTTGTTCTTAACCTCTGAGCCATCTCTCCAGCCTGATATTCTTATTTATAATAAGAAATCATTGTTATTTTCACCTTGCCATGGAAGGAAACAGGGTACGCATCAAGAGAGCAGTACTGACACTGTCGGTGTTAGTTCTGTGACCTTGGCCAGTCTTTTCAGCTCCTTTTACCTCTCTCAAGCCCCGTCATCTTAAGGCCCTTATGGTAACATTCCAATCTAATAGTTGTTTTATTATGTTTCTAAGGCAGTCTGGACTCCCCTGTTATAAAATTTACAATTCCCTTCATAAATAAAAACAATGCTCTATTACTAGCTATATCGCAGCCTTTTTCCTTGTTATTTTGAGACAAGGTCTCACTAAACTACCCAGGCTAGTATTGAAGTCACTCAGAGGCTCAGGATATTCTCCAACCTGAATTCCATAAACAATAGGGGTTCAGGCCTGCATCACCAAGCCAAACTTCAAACAATAATATACTTAGGATAAATTAATGTCCTTTTACTATAATAAATATAATTTTTATAATTCAGTAATCAATAAAGATTTATTATAATAAAAGTCACAGATAAATAAATACATAAAAAGTAAATTGACTTATGTTTTAAAAACTTTAGATTGCAAATGTACTATTACTGGGATTCATATATTATTTTAAAACCCACCCCAGGTTAAACAGTTCACATATAGGCCATTTATGACTGATAGCTGGTAGGTCTGATTTTGTAGGTGTTTTTACTTTTGTCATAGAACAAAAGGTGTAAAATATAAAAAAACCCCATAAAACATGGATTTTTAAAATTCATAAAATCGACTCCTGCTCATAAAATGATGAACGGAAGGTAAATGGATTCAGGTAGCAAAACTCATCCCTGGAGGAATCTTGTCTGATGTGAAAGGAAAGGCCACATTTTATAGGAACCCATAATGATAAGCAATCATGTCAGAACGAATGCCAAAAGCCTTTCAAGTACATCAGGCACCTGTCTCAGAGAGGGCCCCATGTATGATCTGAGCCTATAAACAATGGTAAAGATAAAACTGCTCTTCACGAGTCGGTCACGGGTGCTTTTCCAGCACCATTGACCACAGAGCTTCACGGAATTGCAGTCTACACTGACATGATCAGAAGGAGTGTTTGTATTATTGAGCAGAGCATTTCTGCATCACCCGTAACCTCTGTTTGTATTGTGTCGAGTCAGATATTTAGTCAATACCTGAGACATTTATTCGCAGCTAGTCAATTATAACACCAGGAAGCCAGCTGTTGAATAAACTGTGCTATTAATTTTCCAATGGAGATTCATGTTTGAATGACCATGCATTTCAGAGATTTAAATACTAGAAGGCTTATTATCCTGAAAGCACCATTAAGAGGATAGCATAGATTACAACTGAAAACAATCCTGGCAGGGCTACAACATGCTATGCTCCCCACCTTTCTGTGATGGACGTCCTTCCCTACCTATCATAGTGTGCTCCCCTAAACGATGTTTTACTAAAACCTTAGACAATAAGCCTTAATATTTTCTTATTCACAGAAGATCCTTATTTCATAAAGGTAATGCAAATAAGAAAGATAATCTCCCTAATGTCAATGTCAAATTAGGTTTTTTTTCTTTCAAATGATTCCTACACAATGCTGTTATTTCCCCATCCTAATACCTTCAGACTCAAAATGCAATTTATAACACGGGATGACAATTTATTTCTATTCTATGTTTTCCTTTAAAAAGCAATTCAGGCTTGAAATTAATCAACCTGGAGACAAGAATACCCTACCCTCTAATATGGCACCATGGCATTCGGGACATCACCAGAGGTGGAAAGCTACTTGTACTTTCTCCACCAATCTTCTGCCAAAAAAATAGGTCATAAAACTGAAAGAAAAATTTCATGACCTTTTTTCCGAAGCAGATTGTATGTCTTCATTTGAAAGACAGTTGCCTATCTTCAAAAAAGAGAATCAAAGGCCTAGAAATGTCGAAAGTCTGAGAGAACAGGCAATGCTATGTCCTCAGTTTACTGAGGTTGCATCCACACTCCCTCTGTCCAAGCACACTCCTCAACTGACCCGCTCCTCTTCACGCCTAAGCAGAAAAACAGAGAGCAGAGGTTTCTCTGCCTCTCTGGGTTTTCTTTTTCAAAGGTTTCCATGCCACATAGAGTTTATCTTTACTAAATTACTCTGCTACATCTTATGCTATGCTGTCAAATTTTTGTTAAAAGGGCCTTTCCATTAGGCAAGAGATAGGTAAGACAAACAAACAAAAATGTTTCCCACCTTATAGAGGGAAACATGAAGGTTAAATTTGTATACGGAAAATTAACTGGACTATGGATAACACTTGCAATGTATCATTGAGTGACTGAGAAGACATGGAAAATATCTCATTTCCTCAAAGTACACTTGATATTTCTCCAATATGATACTAACTAAAGAAAGAGGAACAGAAGTTTAACTATTCAATATTATCTAATTTATGCTAAAACCCTTTGGCAGAGATTGTAATTTTTTGTTTGGTAACGCTTTTGAGGAAATGATGGATTTTGTGTATTTTTAAAGTGGGGCAAGAAAAAATAATTGTGGTCCAATTAAATAAATGACTAAGAAGAGACAGATGTCACACTCATTCATTAAAATGTCTACCTCTTCTGTATTTTAAAAGCTGAATGATTCTCCCCTAAAGTCATCTCCCCTGTGTTTCTTTTGACAAGATTTCAGCAAATTAGTTTTCTAATTATTAATTCAACATCTCAGTTTTATATTACCCATAAAGTTAGTAGATGTGAGTATTCAGGTCTTTGGAGAAATACAAGTGAACAGACAGATATCTAATATTTATAACAAGTAAAGCCATTAAGAGTATGAGGAGACAAACTCAATGTTGCCATATTATATGAAAAAGTGGACAAACTGTTAAAATTTTTATTTGGTACTGCCAATCCTCACAAACACTAACTTGTCTCCTGACGTCATTTTTCTCTAAACATAAATGGATTTGCATCAATAGAATGCTGTGATTTGCACACAGAGAACATGAAGCTGACAGGCATAAAATAAAAACCAGGTGTGGTGACACACACATTTAATCCCAGCATTCTGGAGGGAGGTAGATGGATCTCTGTGTGTTTGAGGCCAGCCTAGTCTACAAAGTAAACTGCAGGGCAGTCAGCACTGTCTTGGAATAGATAGATAGATAGATAGATGAATAGATAGATAGATAGATAGATAGATAGATAGATAGATAGATAGATAGATGGTAGCCTCCCTACACAAAACACCTGATAGAACACAACCCAGGAAGACACTCAGCTTGTTGAGTACCGTTCTCTTTTACACTAAGTCCCAAGACCACAGTGTTGTGAGGAATATTAATTTGCATTTTGAGTAAATTATATTTACATATCATCTCAATGAGAGTAACGTGGTGATAGTCCTTCTGGAATCCTGAGTTCCACTTTGAAAAAGAACTAAGATTATTTCAAATACCCCATATTGTGTCTTGTCTTAAATGACTCTGACTGATAATTCCGAATGAACTAACAATTCAGTGTATGAATAAAATCTATATAGCGACTCTGTGAAAAAACAGGGATTTATATGTTATATCAAACTCAGCTCTTAGATGAAAATGTTCCGCGCCTCAAGCTGCACCTTCTCTCTAGTCTTTCTCATGCTTGACAGAACTTGGCACCATCAGCTTTCTTTTTAACACATACTCTCTTTCCATTCCCACCCTGTATGCCCTCCCTGAAGTTCTTTTAGTTCAATATGGCACATTATCGTTTTCCCTCAGACGCCCATTCATGCGATTGCCAACAGAGACAATTCAACAACTTAACACATTTATAAAAACACAGAAAGTACCTGGACATAGGCTCTGCAAGAGCGCTCTCTTTTCTGAAGCTGAATCCATTAAGACAGCAGATTAAACACAGAATAGAAAAAACAAGTTAGTGACAGAAGAAAAATAAAAGAAAACATCCACATAAGCACCTTACTTTTTGATTTGCTACTTTTACAGAAGAAAACGAAGGCTATGCTGCAGCAATATGGCAGACAAAAAAACAACCCCTTTTTCTGAGCAGCCCACCTAAAAACAAGACCGTGGAAACTGTTGACAGAAAGAAACCTTTGAACACATTTAGTAGAAATTAGTACAGATCAATAGACATTCATGTGAAATGGTCCAGGGCACTTATGGTTAGTTATTCATTTATGAGCCGCTAGTGGAGACATAAGATGGTAAGTCAACTATGCAAAAAGTTTGGAACCCATTATTTTACAGAGAGATTATGTGTGGTTTTCAAGACAGCCTAGATGGTCGATTGTGTGTTTATATTATGCGTTCATTCACACCTTCAAAATCCTACTATAAGCAAGATAGACATGTCCATTACCTGTGACTATATTTACCCCTATGGGACAAATAATGAGTCAGATAACTGGAGATTACAAGAATGTGATTCATTTCCTGACTTGTTGCTTCTTTTATTTCTTAAAGAATTGGATTTGACAGTCTTGGCCAAAATAGAAAACATTTTAGAAACTAGTGGGGTAAGAAGCTTGATTTAATTTGTTTTTGTTGACAGAAGTGGTATTCAGGCCCCAAACATTTTCTCCTGATGCTAAAATGAATAATCAATAACCATTCATTCATGCTGTTTAAATGGGTGACCCAAATTTTGATAAATCAGACTCTGGGGTTTCATATTTTCTCCTGGGTTTTTCAGTTCCCTTGGTTATTAGCCTTGAAATGCAAAATAGAGTTTATCCAGTTTTAGGAAGTACTTAATCTAACACTCTTTGTGTAGCTGGCTAATACTGTAGCAACCCTAATGCAGGCTTTCTTCAATGAGGGAGCAGTAACTTTGCTGAAGAATGAAGTCAGGAATGAGAGCAAGTGAATCACCAATGCTGTCATTCAGATCACTGACTCACATCACAATTATGTAGGGCTCAGCTCTCCAGAATTTCAATGTGGAGTGCAATTGATTTGTACCTAGTTGACTTTGCAAATCTGATGGGCTGTAACTGCTTTGGGGAAAGTAGGAACCACAGGAAATGAGAGCAAGCCAGCAAGCACATGAGGAACCTTTGCCCTCCCATCTCCCTACCCCTTCATGCAAATTAACATATGACAAAGTGCATTATATAAACAATTGGAGAGCGCCAAATGGGAAACAAAAGAGAGCATTAAAAAGCCTCAGGAATGGAAAATTGCCCATTGTGTAGTTATTTGATATTCAGTCTAGGCAAGCTGATTAGCTGTAGCCAGTTAGAATGTGACATTAATTGCCAGCTTTACCTGAGAGCCTCAGACATCAACACCACTTTTAAATAAAGATACAAAGTATTGCAATAAGAAGTCATGTTATGGATATGTAACATTAATAGAAATCAGTACTCCCAGCCCATTATTATAAGAATAGCTGGCAGCCATATTCATTAGTAGCATCAAGTCAGCTAGGGTAATAACACATTAAAGTCACAGCATGCCACAGCATATACGCAGCTGCCGAATATGCCATCAGAGACTCGGATGTGATTGTTTCAGGACACAAGAGAAAAAAAAAAATAACTCCTTCTTACTCAGCATGACAAAGAAACCTAATACAATATATCTTAATAAATAAAGATGAAAATTACATTTGCTTACCAAAGAAACTGAAGCAAGAGCTATCTGCCAGAAAAAAAATCTGGCTTTTTAATGTTGAATGATTATTATATAAAAACATTTTTCCATTTTAATGAGCGGCAATCTTAACCCACCAAAAACAGAGAACTAAAACCAGTAAAAGACAAATTTATGACTCTTTAAATTTCCAGTCTAAAGGGAAATATTTTAAAAATGAATTTCTTATAGGAGCATTAGTCTTCCACTGTCAAAATTTTTTATTTCCCAGGTTGAAAAGATGATGTTAACAGTCCAGGGCACAGAATTCAGCTATTCCATTTGTGAGTATCTACATTTGATGCTAACCATCTGACATCATGATATTAGTCTACCATGTAATATATATATATACATATGTATATATGTATATATATAACTGATATTCTTTATAAATATGCAGCATATACTTTGTGCTTACAATTATACAAGATATTTATGCACATAAAATGTTTATAAAAAGTCATAAAGTATATTTCTTGAAATGAAACATAATTAAATTTGCTTATTTAAAGTTAAAATCTGATGGGTAAAGATTCAAATATATGAGTCATTTAAAAATTAAAATGAAACGTATATTTTAATTCAGTTTCTTGCCCTACCAGTTTTTAAAAGAAATATTAAGTAGGTAAAATTATCTTATTAAAAAATATGAGAAAAAAATATAATGGATTTTAACATGCTTTTGTTAATGTTTCCTAAATTTCCACCTCCTGATTAAAAACTATTTACACTGTCAATTATTTTGAGAGAGGAATTTGTAGGAAACAATAACCAGTTGCATTCATTTACACTAATTTTGCTATTATTTAGCATAAAAAAAACTGAGAAAGTAGTACCAAAAGTAGAACTACAAATACAAAAGACTGGCATATATTTCCCTAAATTAAAAGTCAACTAAGGTCATAATTAAAATAGTAAAGTCAATTAAATATAAGTATTGGTGTGTGTGTGTGTTTTTTTTTTTTAATCATACAACTTGCCAGAAGAAAGAAAAAAAACCAACACGAACATCTCAAAACTGTCTTAAAACTGAAAGACAGACACTGCTGAGGTTCTCACCTTGTTCAAGCTGCGCGCTGCACTGTCTTTCCCGCCCGGGGTCAAATTCCGGAGCTGCACATCCAGGAGACCAACCAGCTGGTCCATGGCACGGACTGAATAGGTGATGTCCCCAGCGTTCAAATGATTTCTGGTCTGTTCCGCCAGCTCTCTAGCAATATTAGCAGCTGTCTCTCCAGACTTTAACTATAGTTTTAAATGGAAAGGAAAAATGCATTTATATATTTTTTTCGTTGGTCTCCTTTAGCAATTGTTTGTGCATTGTCAATTAGAGTTACTGAGTCAAGAAACAGTTTTTAAATCCCATCCTCAATCCGCAACAATCTATAAAGTTTCCTGATAACTCAGCCTTTTCTCTGAAGCCTGACTTTCAAATTATGTGTTTAAGAAGGCTTTTTGAGGATACCTTCTTCTAAAGATTATTTTTTTCCTAAGTTAGTCATGTGGGTGGTTAAGTCTGAGGTGTGTCCGACAATTTTCTCTGCCAGTCTCTAAGTTGGACTTTGGTGAGAGGTTCTTGTAGGTCCCTACTCTATATTCTCAAGAAGCTGCCCATGCTTTCCATTGTGCCAAGATGGGCAATTAATGGACTAAGGGAACTCACGGGTTTCAAAGTTCTGTGAAATTTACTCTTGGTGAAATTCCTGCTTTCCTCCTACCAAACTAAGAAGTTTTCTCCCAATATATTATGTAGCAAATTACTCCCGAATTCCCGGTAGTTTTCCTTTCTGAAACACATTGATTTTTAAATATATTCTTCAAAACATAACCAATTGTCAACACTTTAAAGATGTTTAAAGACAATATTTCAGGACCTCCCAAATATACTTGGCAGCCTTGATACAAGAAAACACAAACATAACTTCATTCATAAGAATGATGTGAAATATATCTTTACGAAGTAAATAAGTACCACTTCCCAGTTCATGATGTTCATTATCATTTCAAATTCTTAGAATTAAATTTAAATAATAATTTGAGTTTCTGAAACAATACTACAGCACATTTTCATAAGGAAGAATGTAATGAAAAACTCTTTAGATTCCTCTTTCCAGAGAGTGTCTTATGTTAATCTTGCTAAACTATAACCTACTCCATTGTTAATTAAACATATGAAAATCATTATTTATGGATTAGTTTTCTTATTCTCTCATGTTCTTGTAAGACGGCCAGTATAGACTATAATAAACAGACAAATAGAAATTTTCGCTTTGTAAATTGTTTCCCAGTGATAATTAAGGAAGACACAAACTCATTAGAATAGCAAGTGAAGAAGGGTTCACTATGGGATGCTTCGTGTTCTCAGCAGGACCAAACATTTAAAAACAAACTGATATATATATATAAAAAAAAAACTCTAATGAGTAAATTGCAGTGATCAGAACATCTACACAATGTATAATCACAAACATATACATATGTGCAAAAAAAACCTAATTCAAAAATTAAATGCAATAATAGCAAGCACTGGCAAGGTTATGGAAATGACTATCACTCCTATAACTCTGGCAAAGAGTTTATAATTACATAGCTCCTACAAAGGGTAAACTCTTGATGCTAAGTCTTATTGCTGTTGGATATAAGAAATAATCTCCTGATGTCAAAACTAAACATTCAGAGACATCCAATCAGGCTTGTGACTGAAAACAGTAGAGGCTATGATAATACAGACTCGCTCAATTATAAATGTACAATTCCAACAGTTTAAAAGTATGAAGGAGATTAACGGTGTTGATATTTCTTTAAAATACACAGCTAGAATTATACTACTTAGAAAATATTTCAAATATGTACATATATATATCTGTGTTTATATATTTATCTATATTAATACACTTAAATGTGTGGACCAAAGCTTGAAAATTCAGAAATAAAAGAAAAATTATTATTGGTAATATTTTAATTTCACAAAAATATATTCACATTATGTAAAACTGTTAGTAAAGTTATTGTTAAAATAAAGTCATTATTTTGCAGAAATTATTAAAGTAAAATTAAGCAAACAAAAACTGAGCATATCAATTATAATGTAATGGGTTCAAAAATTTCTTTAGGATCTTTATATTTAAAATACCTGTAAGATCAAATTATCTACACTATAGATTTGAAGGATAACTATGCAACAAATTTTTTATATACCAAAATACCATTCATGGCCTACCAGTACTTTATGAATTTACATTTAAACAGCAACAAAGTGGCCAATCTGAGATTTTTTTATTAATGATGTAAAATGAAATGCTACAATATAATGAATAAACAAAATCTAAAATTCAGTGGGCTGGGTAAATAGCTCAATTAGACCTGGACTTAATGCCAATACAGAAAGAAAGAAAAAGAGATTCAGGAGGGGAAGGGAAAATGGAGACATACAGGAAATGAGAATGTAAGCAAAGAAGAAAGAAATTTCAATATTAATAGATTAGTAATCAATTGTGACCTGTTAGGTGCTAGTGACACAGAAAAAAGCAATAGGTCCTTGAAAGCGGCAGATTCTGTCTTGTCATGTGCCTGTAGTCTTGAGTTCTAAGGTCCTGCACAAATTAAAAGTTAGTCCAGCCACTCCAAACCAGTAGCTGTGGAGTACTTTGTCAGGCAAGCCAAGAGAATGAATTTCACAGACAATGGGTAAGTATAGAAAGGAATTTGACTATAGGACTTTAAGTAAGAGTTCAAAGAAGGGGCAGGAGGGAAGGAGGGAAGGAAAAAGGTCAAGCTCTCTGCAGCAAGATTAGACCCTATAATATGAGTTCCATTAAGATACTGAGGGCATTCTATAGAAAAGGGGGCTAAAATTAGAAAGTATAAAAGAAAGAGAAGAAAAAACAAGGCAGGAACCAGAACCCCCTTCTTTTGTTTTTGTCCTCTGACCAGGGCAGAACCAAGGACATTTCAAGACTGGAATCAATGTTTCCATCTCTAAAGCAGCTGAGCCCCTTGTACCTCCTGTTCTTATCTATTAACTACTTGAAGCCAGTACTCCATCAACGAAAGTGGATCCAGGTAAGCTTGAAAACTAGTTTCAGAACACCCAGGGCTAGATACACAGAAAAACCCTATCTCAAAAATAACACCACCACCACCACCACCACCAACAACAACAACAAAAACCCGAACAAACAAAGAACAAAAGAAATGCATTATTTTCTGCCTAAAGAATCTATTATTGCCTAGCAATCTTGATAACTTTATGTTTTTCATTGGGTTCACCTTCTTATTTAGGATCACGAATTATAGGTTCAATGTCCTACATTTATGTATAAAAACCAATTATGAGTGAGGAGCTCACCAAGGCCAGCTGGACTGGGACTGAAAATGCATTGGATAAAACCGGACTCTCTGAATATGGTGAACAATAAGGGCTACTGAGAAGCCAAAGACAATGGCTCTTAGATTTGATCCTACTGCATGTACTGGCTTTGTGGGAGCCTAGCTTGTTTGGATGCTCACCTTCCTAGACCTGGATGGAGGGGGAGGACCTTGGACTGCCCACAGGGCAAGGAACCCTGACTGATCTTTGGACAGGAGACAGAGGGGGAGGGGAGTGGGACATGGGGAGTAGGGGGAGGGGGAAGGAAAAGGGAGGCGGGGAGGAGGCGGAAATTTTTAATAAAAAAAATTTTAATAAAAAAAGAAAAGAAAAGGATCTATTATTGATAGTTACTAAGGACAAACCTAGCTTAGTGAACTGGCCTACAAATGAGAAGGGTAAATATACCGTAACAACTTTGTCTTTGCCATATCTTCTCCTGTGGGTAAGATTCCTCTCAGTTCCATTTATCCATGCATGTTGGTCATTTGGGAAATGTTTTGCCCCAAACTATAATATCTAATAATTTTCACTGCTCAAGGTTAAAGACAACCAGCTCCAAGAACCAGAAACACCAAATCATGATAGAAGTGTAAATACGTTGAACCCAAGTTCCTGCCAAATCTACATCTAATCCTAGGAAAGACACAAATATTCCTTCTATTCAGTAGATTATTGTTCTGTGTCATTATCCCTTCTACCTCTATCCCTTGCCATGATTTGGATATACAATGGTACCCAAAGACTCCTAAGACTTAGACTTCATTGCCAGCTAGTGGACTTTGGGCTTAAGTGATTAGATTAGTAGGATGCCATCTTCATCAATGGATTAATAATACTTTGATTTTTAAAATTAACCAATTTGTATGGCTTCTGCCTCCTGAGAGTTGTGATTTCAAACATGTGCCACATGCTGGGCTGTCAGAACATGGTCAAAAGAATGGCTCACATTGAACGGTGCCTCGAAGAACTGTGAGAGAGGCTCCAGGAAAAGAGGTGCAGGTACATTTTGTTCCCTGGATTGATCCTGGTCCAGTGACACACATTTATAATATTTGATTTATAAGATAAGCTTATTTTTGTTGGATGTCTGAACACATCTGTAGAACCAAATCTAGTCAGTGTACGCTGAATGGAGATATGACTTGCTTTCATACTTTCCCGGATGTGAGCTACAGTACATGCTAGGCAACTGTGTTGATATTGGTCTGTCCTTAGAAAGTTCTGGGAAGTGGATGCTATGTTAATATTTAGTATGTGCTTACTGACATTCATTTACATGATTTTCTGAACTCAAACACCTTCCTTGAATCATTGTTTTCTTTGTTTCATTCATGTATAAAAGCACACTGAAGCTGAAGTAAGTTGTCTACATCATTAGACTGTAGTCCACACCATGCTTTCAGGTCCTCAGACCCGAAGACTAGCAGATATAATCTACATAGGCCAATGGAAGTTGACACTGAACTTGTAATTTTGTGGCACAATTTGGAGGTGATATAACTAGGAGGTAAGGTATGGGTAGAGGAAGGAAGCCACTAGAAGTGCACCCAGGAAGGGTATATCCTGTCCTGGCATCCTCTCTTCCTTTGCTTCTTGGCTAGCAAGGCAGACATCACCTCTGCCATATACTCCTGCTTCCATGATGGTCAACCTTATCTTGGGATCAAAGAAATGAGATCAGTGCTGTGGGCAGAGACCTCTTAACCCATGGGCCCATATAAGTCTTTCCTCTTTTAGGTTGGTTTTTTGTCAGATTTTATCACAGTAATGAAAACTGACTACAAATATCCCTTGATCACCACCCATACTGTCCTTAGCTGAAAAGTTGATTGGTGAGCACTTTCCTCTTTTCCATTCTTGGGTCACTTATGGC